CCATAGCTCCCATTTACTGTAAAACCCTCCCACTAAGCCCTAACCCATAGAAAAATTCTTTTACTTATATAACACTATGTAAACCTAATACTAAGGGGAGTTGTGCTGTAGCCCTGAAAGTGCTAACATCAAGGGTTTATATCTGTAATGTGTGTCCAATAAAGCAATTATTCTTTAAATGGTGTAAATTATTTAATAATTCTAATAAAATTAGTACAACTCCCTACTCACCGGTAATATAGAGGATTGGAGAGTAATTTCTATATTACAATATAAAGTACTTAACAAATTAATTTAATATTAATACCCACACGTAACATTAAAATGATTTTTAAAATTCTATTATATTTAGCATTTTGTGCTTGGTCATTGGCTATACCAACTGATATACAGTACAATTTGAGGGCCGGTATCATAGGGGGCAGTGATGCCAAAGCCGGTGATAACCCGCACATGTGTTCCCTGAGAATCAATGGTTCCCATCAATGCGGGGCATCTATTATAGGCACCCAATGGGTGGTCACCGCTGCCCACTGTCTGGAAGGGTATGCCATTTATGTTACAATTATTTATTAAATAATTAATTTGAAATGGTTAATTATATTCAAACTGTAAATTGTAGTGTTTGTTATAAATTATTTGAATCATATATTAATTTTTTTTAATAATTGGCTTAGCCTTGAGGAATAGTGTTATTAGATTATGGGTTTTGTTTGTAAAAAATAGTTATATATAAATAAATTATTATACTATTTATTTCATTTTATAATGCAGCTATGCCAAATTTTTTACGTAATTGTTTATTGAAGATTTATTATTCAATAATTTTATTTAAAATTAATAAACTGTAATAGTTTAAATATATTAAAATATAACATACTATATTTTATTTTAAAAATAAGGGAATTTATTCGTATAACTTTTAATTGAAGTATAATTAAAATATTCCACTTCATTTTAAAATTGTATCATTAATTTCAATTAGAATTTAACAAACAAAATCATTTAGTGCACAGAATAGTAATTATTATTTAATTACCAAGATCACACTTGTTCATTTCTTTAAATGTATACTTGTTATTTAATACGAGTAATAGATTGTAAAAATTATATTTGTTAAATAATACACTTTAAGTTGGGACTTTGTAAGCGTTATATTATATTTTTAAAATAATTTTATTAAAACTGTCATTTAAATTTAAAAATCATTATAATTATGAATTAAAGTTTAGTCAATGATTTACGGGATATAAATGTTTCATTATGAAATTAATTTTGTATTATTTAGTTTATTATTATTTAGTTACTGTATATCTGTACAATTTAACATTGTTCATAATTAAGTTTTAGATTAACTTTTTTAATTGTTTAATTAATTATATATTAAATAAAGTAAATTAATTTAATTTTAACAAAACTCAGAGTTAAACCGATAGACCTATTACTACGGTGCGCTACCCTATTGCGGGAAGTACCTGGTCAAGATTTTAATATAAGCAAGGTCATATCGCACGAAAACTATAATAAAAATGTCTCAACTAATTGCGATATTGGACTTTTACAAGTCACTGGTGAATTTAAACTAGGCACATCTGCGTTAGACAAAATAAAACTACCTGACCAAGATCAAGATTATGCACAACCTGGATCAGTAGCTACAGTAACTGGATGGGGTCTAAATGCCGACCAAAAATTACCCGAGAAATTACAGACAGTAGACGTACCGGTGCTCGATAGGGCCACTTGTATTAGTGATTACAAGTCAAGTATAAGTGATTATATGTTTTGTGCTGGATATGATGAGGGTAAAAGGGACTCATGTTCTGTATGTATTAATATTTTTGCATTAATTAAGGTTGAAAAATTATTATTTTATTTACTAGGCTGATTCTGGTGGCCCAATAAAGTTTAATAATACCCTGATTGGAATTGTATCATGGGGTTTGGGATGCGCAGAACCACACCACCCTGGTGTCTATACGCGACTGGGTAAATTTAGAAATTGGATCAAGGAACATAGTGGAATCTAAAATATATTAAATGATCATAAATTAAAATATCACTTTCGTAACGAGAACCATTATTTAGTCTATTGTTGTTAATTGGGTCAGGGCAAATTTTTTGTAATAAATGGAAAAATATTCATAACCTGTATGGCATTCATTATTAGCTATTCAGTAATTTTCATAAAATCAAACAAATATAAACATGAGTAATATGAGCTGGGGACAATCATAGTAACGTTAGCTTTTTTATATTTATTATATCTAATTATTAATTTTATCCAAAAGTCAATNACGTTAGCTTTTTTATATTTATTATATCTAATTATTAATTTTATCCAAAAGTCAATTATTCATAAAATATACATAGGTTTAAGCTAAACGAGTAGTACTATGACTTATCAGGTTCAAATATTACTGCATTTTAAAGTATTAAAAATATCTAACGTTACTATGATTGTGCCCAGCTCATATAATGTCTCTTTTACAATTAAATATTAATATAATCATTACTTCATTAATTAATATATATAAAAATAAAGTCGTCCAAAAAGTTCGAGATTGTTTACTTGTATTTATAAAGTGTTTATTTTGAATAATATTTTTATTTACCCATGACAATAATTGTGTTTGGGAATTTATTAACTTTTATTGATCTTTTAATCGATATAATAATATAAATATAATTATATAAATAAGTATTCAAGTATTAATAATATAGCTTCTAAATAAATTATACTTACATAACAATATAAATAAATGCAAAATTAATTGATTTTAATTTGTAATGTTTATATTATTTTATATTACTGTTAGCGAGGTCTCAAGAATATTCTGTATGAATTAGATTAATTTATACAAAACCCAGGTATGTATTTATTTCATATAATATAAAATAGCATTCAATTAACTTGATACAATTCACATACCGTATGACATGACAGTAATGTAAATTGCTTACAATTGTGAGAACAGGTAGATTTCGATGAGACTGATGGTAATGTTATGATCGGGTGCGGCTCTATTTACCTAAAAACCAATTGATCTAAACTTAAATAACTTAATGACCAGTAAGTAAATATACCAGATGACCAGTGTAAAATGTTCCCCTTGACCTTACCTAACCTTACCTATCCATACAATGGTCAAAGGTCTATTTGTCATTAAGTTATTTAAGTTTAGGTCAATTGGTTTTTAGGTCAATTTGCCAGTTCTCGTTATGATCATAGGTGGTCACGATGCTAATCCTGGTGGAAATCCGCATATGTGCTGGTTCAGATTCGATGGGAGTCACCAGTCCGGCGACAATGGACCCTTACGGCTAAGTAAGTATCTTATTAATTATAAATTTAATTAAACAAGTAAAATTACAAAAGATTTTTTAACGGTCTTATGCAATAATTCAGTAATAAAAAGGTTACGCAAATCTTTCCCAATATTTCTATTATTAAAATTAATAGCTATGTTAAATTAATAAATATTTGAAATTAGTTTTTATAAAAATATATGAATTTAATTTGACGTAATTTATGCTAATCATATTAATATTTTTAATGATTATGAATGTTTTACAAATTGAAAATAAAATTGCTTGTGTTATAATATAATATAATAAAATTGCTTGTGTTATATTAATAGTAACATAACTTATACACTACGATGCGGTACCATAAAGCATACAAAACCTGGTGTAGACTATAAAGTTACCCAGCATATAAAACGTGAATTATTTCACGTTAAAACTCAAAACGATATTGCCTTGCTCAAAATTGACGGATAAATCACCTTGGGCACTCTTTACTTGTATAAATTGCATTACCAGTTCAAGATTCAGATATTACATCGGGAACTGTAGTAATTGTAATCCCGCACCACACTACCCTGGTGTTTATAGCCGTGTGGCATGTTTAGGGATTGAATCAAGGAACATTCAGGAATTTAATGTATTTGATTATAATTTAAAAATTCATATTTATGAAACAAATAATATTATATTGGTGCAAAAGTACTCGCGTCGACCTTTATTTGAAAACTGTGCTAGCTAGAACAAAACAAAAAATATAATTTTTTACAATTCTTATTGACTTCAAGGCACAGAAGTTATAAGTTTGTACCAGCACCGGTATGTTACTAGCACCGGCTGATGCTCTGTAGCTAAAACTATAGGAGAAACAGAGATGATCAGGGTACCATTCGAAAGAGCATCAAAATCAAAGGATACATGCCCTTGTTAGATTTTCCCTAAAATGTTTAGTTTTAGCACTACGAGGCCGGATATCTCAGTAAAACCAAATTTCCATTAATTTTTAAAATTAAACCAAATGAGCTAGAACAATGTTATGATATGCAAAATGTAGATAATTCAAATCT